ATTGTAAAATGCTGAAAAATTAGTGAAGCTTTGCAGTTAAGAAGCTGTATATATGTTATTTTACAAAGTTCTTGGCTTTTATCTTTTGGATTGAGTAATTTCAAGGTTGGGGGGCTCCTGTTTTGGCAGGTAAATTACTTTATATGATTGCTAGTCTTCAAGAAGGCAAACTTTGTACTTTGGGGAGTAGTTGTACTCCTTTTCTGGGATACATACTCCAGAAAACGAATGCAGTTGTGAAATGGTGGCTCTATTTTCAAGTTACTAAATCAATGACTGAGTAACGTGGCATGCAAGTAACATCGGGCCCTGATGGGAAGTGAATGGCAATAGAAAACTACCGCTCTGGTGTTTTCATCTGTAGGGAAAAAGTATCAAGCATCTGGAGTAAGGCATTAGCAATGCATTTTATCTTTGGAAGATAACTTGATATCTTGGCCTGATCAATTGACTGATGTTAATATGGACCTTGACAAATTAGAGACACGGGCAGTCACCAACCATATGGAGTTTAACAAGGGTAAGTGCCGAATTCTGCACCTGAGATGGGGCAACCCTGGTTGTGTGTATAGACTGGGAAACCAGAGGCTGGAGAGCAGCACTGCGGAAAAGGACCTGAGGGTCCTGGTTCATGGCAAGTTGAATATGAGTCCGTGGTGCCCTGGCAGCCAGGAGGGCCAGCCCTGTCCTGGGGGGCATCAGGCAAAGCATGGCCAGCTGGTCGAGGGAGGGGATTGTCCTGCTCTGCCCTGGGGTGGCCTCACCTTGAATATTGTGTGCAGTTTTGGGCACCACAATATAAAAAAGCTACTAGAGAGCATCCAAAGGAGAGCTGCAAAGATGGTGAAGGGTCTGGAGAGGAAGCTTTATGAGGAGTGGCTGAGGGCACTTGGTCTGTTCAGCCTGGATAAATGGAGACTGAGGGGAGACCGCATTGCCACCTTCAACATCCTCATGAGGGAAAGTGGAAGGGCAGGTACTGATCTCTTCACTCTCATGACGAGTCACAGGACTTGAGGAAATAGCATGAAGCTGAGTCGGGGGAGGTTTAGGTTGGATCAGGAGAAGGTTTTTCACCCAGAGGGTGAAAAAAACCAGTATCCTGTTCCAGGACACTAGAACAGGCTCCTCAGGGAAGTGGTCACAGCACCAAACCTGTCTGTGTTCCGGAAGTGTTTGGACAATACTGTCAGGCATGTATTGTGATTCTTGGACTCGATGATCCTGATGGGTCCCTTCCAATTTAGCATAATCTGTAATTCTGTGGAGGTTATCAATTCAATTAAATGTGTACCAGGCTATATTATTCCTTCATTGACTATAACCAGGCACCATCCAATAGTTCAAGATAGGAAATCTGTTTATCATTTTTCTGAAACTCCAGGGTCAGGTTTTCAAATGCTTAGTGAAAAGTGACTTTTGCATTCAGAAGAGGTGCCGGTTTAGGCTTGAACTGACTCATGGCACCTTCACGTGGCCTTCCATGGAACTGCAGTCGGAAATGACTTATGTTGCTATCTCAAGAGTTGAGGGCTGCATTCCGTTGAATTCCCTGGAAGAATTTACAGTAGCTGCTTGCATGACAGAGTAGACCAATGAGCCCTTTATGGGCTGGCCTTTCTAGGTGGATGACCCTTCCTATGATACAGTATAGCAAATGCCTCAGATCTTATGTTGTAATAAATTATAGGAAGAAGTGGTTCTAGGAGTCTATTCTAAGGAGAATACAGATACCAGAAACTTAAGCTACTGCTTCCAGGTAGCATCATGATAGTATTTTTGAAGTAGACTACTTAAATATTCATCTAGTATATTCTGGGGTTTTGCTACTTAGTTTGAGAAGCCTAAGGATAGCAAGCCTCCATGGGTTGAGGGGGAAGAATAATTTCAGCTATCATCTAGGTACTTGATTAAAACAAAATATAATTAAATGTTAATTAATACCATACCTGCCATCTATTCCTCATATGTGGTTCCCACCTCCATTGTAAGTGATTCTCTCTTAACTGGCTTAAGCTTCAGACACATCCCGATTTCTTATTGTATTTAAATGCATTGTTAAAATACCTAGATGTAAAAGAGGTTGAAGTAAAATAATGAGTGGATTGTTATCAGTGACTATCATATAATAGGATTTGACTTTTTCCTACATTTATCTTCAACTTTTGCCCAATAAAATTCTTTACTCAGATGGTGACTTGGTGTGTCGTTTCTTCCCCATTCCCTATACCTCCCATTTCCCATCTTCTGC